CACCTTGGTAAGCCCCAGCCGTCCAAAAAGGTTTCATAAGAACAGATCCAAGCTTCTCGACCTGTTTCCTGAGCACGCTCATTAAGCTAAGTTTTCTAAATTCGTTGTGTGTACGACCTTGCTTTCCAGGTTTGAGCAAGGGTTTGACCAGAGAGCAACAGTGGTGTTTGGGGAGCACTGCATACTTACCTATTTGTCTCAGTAGGTTGTCAAGGTCTGCGCGCGATTCAGCACAAAGTTTTCGGAGAAGTCCCAGCCCCAGCCATTCTTCGCACCATCCATCTTCTCCTACAGCTTTGCCGTTTCGCAGTTTCCAAAGAAGGTTTGAATAAATAGCTTCATCAGGTACATCCTGGGGTGTGGCTGAGAATGCTTGTAGTTCTGATTGCCAAAGCTTTGATTCCAGCTCGTTATGTGGAAAGCCTGTTTGCGCCACTTGTCGGATGCCGTCCTCAATCATGTCCAAAGTGAGTTTGTCTAAGTCCTCATGAGACTGTTGCTTGGTGAGTTTCCTCCACATTGCTGAATTTTTTTTGGCCCGATGACATAGCACTAATCATAGCCCAATCTCCGCGCTGTTTCCTCCTTTGATCTCTGGCATAGCTCACCTTTGCAGCCTTTCGCGCAGCGACCATGTCCAGGTACAAGTTGTCATGTGTACCAATTGGATTACCAGTAGTTCGCCTTCGCCAAGCTGCCTTCAGACTCCGAAATCGTTTCTCCAGGTGTCTAGTTTGAAAAGATGTGTCCTCTAACCTTCTGTGATTGTTTGTATTTGTTTCATTTGAAGTGCGCTGCCACCTGACAGCGCTCAGTTGTTCCACTGCAGCCAGCCATTGTGAAGCAGCCTTTTCTGCTGTTACCGTCCATATTATCAGGATTTGTCAGCTATTCCTGTCGAAGGTTGTCCATAATCTCAGGGTTTGCCGTGGACTTCAGGATATTTACTCGCTTCATCTTCCATATAGGCTTTAAATTGCGCAAAGATTGTCGGATAAATGGGCTTGCGCGCAGTCAGCTACAGGGCATAGACGCAGAGGCAATTTCACACTGAGACGCGCATGGTCGGATTCGAGAACAGGTCCATCAACAACACCGTCAAAACAGTGGTTCAAAACCCAACTAGTGCCCAGCCAAGTGTCACAGTTAGAGTTCCCTTGTTTTGCAAAATAAGTGCAGACATTTGGTAGGCATCGACCATTCAAAATCCATAAGCTACCAGCCCGTGTCCATGAAAGAATCTCATCACCATTGCCGTTCACAACTGTGTCTTGGTTAGAGTCCCTTATCTGGGTCACCCAGGTTGCGTCCACCTCATCGTCAGTTCTTCATCGAAAATAACCTTCCCGTCGTTTAAATTTCCTACTCGTGCATTTGTGTCGCTCACAAGCATCACCTCTCCACGATCAGAAAATTGTTTCAACAAGGCCGGCATCTTGTCCTCAATGTCACTCCTTTCAAATAAAACTTCTCTAGATGTAGCTCCAGAAGGGGGAAAATATACACCAACCAGAAACAAAGTGCGGTCACCAGTCTTCACTTGCAACGCCAGAGTTCCTTTGATTCCAATGTCCAGTTGCTGAGTAATGTCCAAAAATTCTTTACGCACTAGCCACGCAATGCCACCAGCTTTGCCTACTTCCCTATCTTTTCGAAAAATGTGATACTGTGGTATCAGCCGAAACTGCCATTTGCCTCGAGATTGCGTCTCTGACAAAAAGACAAAATCATTTTGCAAAAACTTCGTTTGCAACATCTTGCTTGTTTAATTTCTTCTGAATTCCTGCAATATTCCATCCCATTATTCTTATTGTGTGCCATCCTTGCAGCTCTAGTCTTCTTGTTTCTCTTCAGGTCGAGTTCTGTCTCTGCATTGTTCAAAAAGATCCCTGGGATTTTCAACACCCTGGATTTGCTCACTGCTGTTTGGCGATCAGCAACGGACACAAAAGTCAAAATTGCTTTTCCCACTCCTTCTCCGTTCTTGTTCCTAAAGAGCTCCACATGGGTGCAGTTCTTTTTGTGATCTCTGCGATGGATGGGTCGGATGTGATTGTCGCCTCCGTCCATGTGGTTGAGGAGCCGTCTAATTTTGCTTTGCACTTGACATCCTCAAACATCTTTTGATGAATATACTCCTGAAATGCGTGGTTTCTTGCTTTGAGTTCTTGCAAGTGTTGCTGCACTTCGGCTTTACACTATCTTTGATAAACTCCTCTTGTTTTTCCTTGAACTCCTCTAACTCACCTTTTGTGACCGTGTTGCCTTTGATGGCTGCGAGGTCTTCTTTCATACTGCCCATGTCCTTTGTGATCACTGACATCATCTTACCAAGATCCTTCAAGGTAACTTCCTCTGCTGTTGTTGGGCCTTTGTGATGCTTATCAGCATCTGGTTTATTCGGGGACGATGCAGGTCCCCGTTTTGTCGACATTGGAAAGAACGCAAATGGAATTGGGGGCAAATTGGGAGCAATAAACACGTGAGCCAAAATGGCTACGGACCACTTTTGGAATTGAGATGTCGAAAAAGTGCACACCGTTGTGGCGCGAAGCACATTTCGAAGTCAAAATGTACAAAGCACACTAGCTTCGGACCACTTTTGGAAGTTGAGATGTCGAAAAAGTGCACGCCGTGGTGGCGTGAAGCACATTTCCAAGTCAAAATGTACAAAACACACCATGTTTGAACACTTTTGGAAGTTGAGATGTCAAAAGTGCACGCCGTTGTGGTGCGAAGCACATTTCGAAGTCAAAATGTTAAAAACGCCACATGCTCGGACCACTTTTGACGTTCAGGTGCCGTTTCGCGGGGCAGGCGCAAGGGATTGTGCACCTTGTCAAAAGTGAGCAAAACGTGAGGGTTTTGTAGCATTTCCAAAAACGATGGCAGGCGTGGGACAGTTGAAGAGGATCTGCAAAGATGCATTTTCCGTGGCAGGCGCAATACAAGAGACATGTTCATCAGAGCTGTTAGGAGGTCCGGGCGCTGATTTCCTGAGAGGGGTTGCATTTTGGATCATCAGATTTGCAGTTTTGCTGAGATGATTTTGCGTGACAGGTGCAGCACTTCGTATGACCTGGCATCACTTTTTCGTGGCAGAGGCAGTACTTTAGACAGGTGGAGTGCAAAAATCGCAAAACGCATTGGCACGAGGCCGTCAGCTCTGCACTCAACTTTCCATTTTTGAAGGAAATCTCGCAGAATTGCTTCGTTTTTGATGTTGTCAAATTCGAAAATTGATGAAGTCTCGCAGAATTGCTTCGTTTTTAATGTTGTCAAGTTCAAAAATTGAGATAATTGAGGAGGTCTCGCAGAATTGCTTCGTTATTGACGTTGTCAAGTTCAAGAATTGAGGAAGTCTCGCAGAATTGCTGCGTCTTTAAGCTTGCAGGTAGACAGACAGTCAGGCAGACAAACAGATAGATATGATAGATAGACAGATAGATAGATAGATGGATAGATAGATTGATAGATAGATAGATGGATAGATAGAAGGATAGAAGGCCAGACAGACAATTACAACTACAACAGCTACAACTACCACTACACTACACTACACTACACCACTGCTACAGCTACAGATACAAATACACTACGCTACCGTACGCTACACTAATTATACCAAACTACACTCATTACATCTCATTACACCTAATTACACTACACTACACCAATTACACTAACAACTACAACCACAAATACTACCACAACTACAACTACACTACACTAAACTAATTACACTGCAGCACACTACAACTACAAATGCAATTACAACTACAACTACAACCACACTACATTACACAACACTACACTACACTGATTACATTGCATTACGCTACAACTACAACTGCAGCTGCAATTGCAACTACAACTACCACTACATTACATTACACTACACAACACATACTACACTACACTGCACTGCGCTACACCGCACTACACTACACTACACTGCACTAAGCTACGCCACACATACTACACTACACTACATTACACCACACTACAATACACTACTTACACTGCACTACACTACCACTACAACTACACAAATTACACTACACTACGCTAATTACACTGCACTACGCTACAACTACAACTACATTACCTTACACTAGACTACACTACACTATACCACACTACACTTATTACAACACTACACGACATTACCCTGCACTACACTACACTAATTACACCAGACCACGACTACAACTGCAACTGCACTTGCAAATAAACGAATTGCACTACATTACAGCTACAGCTCCACTACGCTACAACTACAGCTACAACTGCAGCTACAACTGCGCTACACCAGACTACATCCAGCAGTTGTGGGCCAGGTGAACACTGCAACCATTGCAGCCATTCCAAAAACACAGCTCCAACCACCTTTCGGTCCATCAATGGATTCGCTCTGCCATCCGTGATTCACAACAACCAATCTCTCCTATAGGCTTCCTATTTTGGAAACTTCCGCCACCGCCTTGTGCGGTACTACTGGTACTTTTTACTTGGCACCCCACACTCTCCACTTTACACTTTGCACTCCACACTCTACACTCCACACTCTACACTTCGCACTTCGCACTCTACACTCTACACTTTACTCTCCACACTCCCGACTGCACACTCGAGTCTTTACACTACACTTTGCACTTCACACTGCACACTTTACACTTGTTACCCCGCACTCTACACTTTACACTTTACACTCCGCACTCGAAAATTCGCACTTTACACTCTACAATCTACACTTTACATTCCACACTCCACACTCTACACTCCACACTTTTCACTCGACACTTCGCACTCCACAGCCTACACTGGTACGGGCAGGGAAAAAAATACAAAGCTGTTGAAATAATTTGTTTCACAAAAGTGTCTTATGTGACTGTATTCGGGTTCGTTAGTTTCTCTTTTTTTTGAATTCAGCGACTCCGAAAAATACAAAGGTTTCAGTAATTCTTGCGGGTCCTCAGACACCGCGTGACACATGTCAGGTGTCCAAGCTTCAGGAAAGGTCTCAGGGCCTGACTACAGCGGGACGCATCCCCAATGCACTTGGCGTACCTGGTCAGGCTGGGGCTGGGGCAATATGGGGCAATAGGATGCAATAGGGCGGTGGGGTAAGGTTGGCCCCCCAAACTCGACCCGAAAGCCTTGGCGGGTCAGTTTGGAGTGGTGATTTCACCTCCGGTCAGGTGGTTCCGGCGGGTCCTTCGTTGGGAAGCTACGGACATCCCAACATTTGCCGCCGGCCATGCATTTTCATGGTGCGAGGTGCATGTGAGAAGGGTGCAGAGTGCGGCTTCTGCCATGTGACTCACGATGCTCAGCAAAACTTCAGGTCAGTGGTAATTTGATTTGTCATATTTCTCTCGGGTTGTTTTTAATATCCTCGAAGATTTTCCCCAATTCTTGATACAATCTGTTCAATCAGGAAGTGCGGTTTCCTTCCTTTGACAGACATCAAAGAGAGTTCTTGAAGCACCTACCGCCTTTGGCCTTCATGGACTTGATTCTGCCATATGTGCGCGAGAAGGTGGAGGCTGGGGAGTCACTGGGAGGCTGGATATCAATGGATGACAGACGAATGATATCTACCATCTCCTAATCAACGGATAATGAATATCACAATATCATCATCATTGACGATATTTTGACTAACCTAGATATTAATGGATGAGGAATGATGATGTTTGGATTGCATGATCCAGTATGGTTGGCAAAAAAAAAGTGCCCTCCTTTTTGTGAGGGCAGCGCGCTTCCCGGAGCTGATCAAGTGCTTCAGCTACTGGAGAGTGAAACCGTCGTCCGAGCATCCGGGGAGAACGCACTCCAAAGGATTCCGCGCAGGGTTCGATATGTGTTGGAGCGGATGAGTTTGGCCAATTTGGTCAGCTTGATTTGCTCGACCATGTCTGGCCGCTTTCCAAAGCTCATTGTCAATGAGCTGAAGGACTTGCGCGAAACCGCCCGGATTTTGCAGGCGTGAGCTGAGCCGGGGTCGTAAGGCCTAGGCAATAATCTGTTGAAGGGTGTGATATTTTTTCATCATATATAGTTATATATATATATATACATACATACTGCATACATGTTGGGTATAAGGAGCAGGTACAGTTCCCGTGACGGTCATGTATGTCACACCCTGAGTTTCAAACCTGATCGAGTATTTTGAAGCATTTTCGAGCAGGTTCGAGCATGTTTGAGCATTTCCAACCATTTCCAAGTATGAGACGCCTCAAATCGTTTCAATATTCAGCAGAGGATTATGTTTCGCATGCGTTGATGTCACATTGGCATTCACCTCGTATAGTTGACTTCTCGTTGACTTGTCATGGCGCAGCTGGTTGAAGCTCGGCGAGAGATCGTTGCTCACCCAAGGCTGAACCAGGACAACAGCTTTGCTGATATGAAATGATCTGAGACCACAGCAGGGCAAAATAGGAAAACAAGCCTTCCATAATGCAGATGATGTGAGCTGTCTTTGCTGTGAATATTCGTTTTTGTTTGGTTCATCCAAACAATTTCCGCTTTCCCGTGATAGCAGGAGTTTCAATTGCTCCCTGCTGTTTTACAGCGTGACGCCGCACAGTGTGGCAATCCCCAAATCTGGAAAATCTGAGAAGAGCTGCTTTCAATTCTTTTGGGATTTGCAATTTGCAACTTATCGATGCTTATCGCGTGTTCCTTGCAGGAGTTTTTCGGAACTGTTTTTTCAGGTTATTTCTATCGTTTTTTCGGAACAGTTCACTTCAGCCAAAGACCCTGAAATTAGCAGGTCTTTGGAGGCCAAAATCCATCCGCTTTAGACAAAACAGGTAAACTCCGACAACTTTGGAAAATAATTATCCAGTTTCGAATCTTCAGGCAATTCATGATGAGCGCACTGCAGTGGCACGCCACGCCTTGCATGTCTCATGCCTTTGCCCACCAATTAGTTGTCTCAAGCCTTAAGAGACTTTCAACCGAAAATGTTGTGACAACACCATTTTTGGTGATAGTTCAGCGGCATGTCTTTTTTGAAGCACTGCCAATTCATGATTGCCAATCAATGTTCGACTGAGAACAGTATGGAAATGGATCTCAATGCAGGATGGTGACTTGCTTCACTTCGGCTGCAACTTGCTTCACTTCGGCTGCAACTCAAGCTTTGGAACAGTGTTCAGTGTTGTCTTCTGCTTCTTCTTCTTCTCATGAGTGTGTCAATTGATATTGTGCAGTTGACCTAGGCCGTCCTAGTCATTTGTAGCTGAGATTCACCCATCCATCAATTTTACCAACAGCTAGGCTCGCTCGATTTTACCAGGGAAAGGGCGTGGGGTTGCATGTATTGTGACCTCACCTGCGAGGTTGGAACCGTGTTTTGGCGAGACAATTGTGACAATCACATCTGGCATTGCTTCTGCTTTCCATTTTGAAGTTTCCTTGGCACGACTGTCGTGGTTAAAATCGAAGTCCTGCGAAGGCACTGAAGGCACTGGAGTCACTAGCCCGATGCTTGAAGAAGCGCCAGCTTGGGCGAGTGACTCGCGGGGAGTGTCCTGACTCCATGTCAAGAATTTCAAGAGCGGCGAGTGCAAGGCATTGAGGAAAAGACCACAAGGAAGCAGAATTTGACGTGTTTTTTTGACCTCAACATGTAAAATACATGGCACTTGAATGCACTTAATTATTTTTAATTTGTGGAATTAATTTGTGTTTTCTTCCTTTGCCAGCAGTGCATTCTTTCCGGCAGTGCCCTGATACATTTGTTCGGCCCAATCGACATGTAATCCTGTCGAAATGCACATGGACATGTCACACAAGAGCCAGAAATTTACAGGTAAAATCATTCAAAGACCTCCTAGCCCTATTCAAAGGGATGCTATTCAGCTTTGCAAAGGTCAGAGGCAATTTGGCTACGAACAAGCAACAAAATGCATTGAGGTAGCCCAAAATGGAAAATATTGGTCACATTCTGCTTTAGAATAAAAAACATATAAAACAATAAGAAAAAATAAGAAAAATAAGAAAACATATAAAAATGACAAATAATAAACTTTTTTTTGGGGGGGACGATTTTTTTGCTTCCAATACTACTTTTAGAAGCGGGCAGGGCACCCTTCTGCTCAACGACCTCGTCCCACACCTCGTCCCACACCTCACAACGCAGCAAAAATATTTTTCATAGATTTTGTTTTTCATATTTTTTTGGGGCTTAATTCCATCAATTTTAAAATATCATAAAACAAGATAAATTAACATAATTTAGCAAAAAGACGCTGATTAGCACCCCTTTGAATAGAGCCCCCGAGATGGAGAAAGATAAAAGGCCACAGACCAAGAGCAAGCCAGACGTTAGCCCGACGTTTTGTGCGAGCCTGCGCAGTCGAAATGCACAATGGACATGTCACAAGACCCATTTAACGCGAGAATTTGCAGGAAAAATACCGCGCGCCAGGAGAGGAAGAGCCATTTTTGGCGGAAAAAGGCCGCAGACCAAGAGCAAGCAAAACTCGCGGCGCAGACTTTGCGCGAGCCTGCGCAGTCGAAGCACACATGACATGGACATCGAGCCATTCTACGCGGAAATTTACAGGGAAACGGGAAAATGCCGGGGCGCAGAAGGAGCACCTCGATCAAGCACCGGCCTTAACTTGTACCATGAGAAGTGAGAACCCCTCAGTGTGGGGACACACTGTTTGGGGAAAAAAAAATTGGACCAAACCAAAAAATTGGTCAAATGCAACATTCACCAGCAAAAATCAGGATTTAATCCGATACATGGATGTGTCTCAAGACAGCTCTGGATATGATTGTCGCCTGGTTCATCCTTCCCGCTGGGTACTGGAGCTGGAATTCATCGACAGTATTATTCGACTTCAAAAAAAGAAAAAATGACTGGGGTATTTCTCAAAGCGCCTACAGTATGTCATCTCTCATCCTTGTTTCGCATGGATTCTCAGAATGGGTCGCAATCCAGACTGACACTGGTAGCTTAGCAGCATGCAACGCCCTTTATCATTGTTTGCCATTGCTCCGTTGATTCTATTGTGAATCTTGCGGCAGGTCTCAATTGTCCAGGTATGTCCAGGTACGACGGTAGAACAGCGAACAATGTGCCAGCCCCGAAAAAAATCCGCCTTGATACTGGATAGTTCTGATTCTTATGATAGTTAAATGTGTTTGGCGGATTTCCCGCAAGAACTTTCTCACCAAAGCCAGGACAAGGAGAAGGCGGAGTTTCAAACAAATGTCAAAAGCCATATTTCCAGTTGTCTAATACCCGGAAGTGCAACTGTCTATAGGAAAGTAGTGGCCAGTGTCAACCAGTGGCATTCGGTAAAAAAGTAAACATGTTTGCTGCTGAAAACATTTTTTACCAAGTTTCGGCGATAAAATTCCCAATGTCCAAAGATGTCGTGAAATCACGTGCAATCACGTGAAATCATGTGAAATCCCAGTGTTTCTCCATATTTCCTGGCAAAATCCCTGTTTCCCATGGCACCTGTCTAAACCATGATGATCCCTCGGCCTCTTTGGGTGTCACTTCAGCCGAATTTGCTGGCAAATGTCATGCCTGAAACAACGTTTTTCCTATAATTTTTTTTTTTAAAAAGTCAAAGCCTCCCTTCAGCGTCCGAGCTACAACCGCTCCGTGTTTGTCGAGGGAGAGAGCACCCAAAAGCAGGATTTAGAGCTAGAGCACGATCTTGGCGCGGCACGAGGGGGGCACCAAAAAGCACGATTGTTGGCACGAAGGAGAGCACCAAAAAACACGGTTTTTTGCACGAGGGAAAGCACCAAACATCACCATTTTTCGCACGAAGGAAAACACTAAAATAACACGTGCCTAAGATATAACGAACACCTTTTGTTGATTGTTACATTTAGGACGGACTGAGGTGAAAATGTATGAGAATGTCCACATTATAGTTTTAATCCCCGCCACAAAGTTTCCGAAATCCCGGTGCAAAATAAAAAAGCCACTCGTTAATGCGAGCCGTGTTTTCCGTTTTTTTTGCGTGTTTAACCATGTTTTCGAAGCTGTTTCCCTCCTGATTTTGTGAATCTGGCCTCAGAGATTTGGCCGCTTAATATGATGTCAACATTGGTGGGATCATTCTTGTTGCTTCATTCTCCAATTCTGATGGTTAGGTTCATCTTTTTGTTCCAGAAGCCCAATTGTCTTATCATGTGGCGCATGTTGCTGGTGGATTGCCCCTGCTAACTTCCACAAACATGTTCTCAAATTTCTCAAGCAATTGGTTTAAATGTCCAAAGATGATGCAAACCCGAAAAGATGTCGTGAGCGCCCGATGCTTTTGGGATGGTCAAATCACCAACCAGCACTCCTTGGTGTCCCCAATCCTGTGCCAGGACCTTTTGCCGAGGCATTCGTGGATGCGGAACTGGATAAGATGGGTGTGGTGTTAGAAACCACCCCAAAACGGAGCCAAATGGGGCATCATTTTTTACCCAGGTGAATGACCACACTTGAAAACAAAAACACGCCAGACATCGCCAAGCAGCAGAAATGACGTATGAAGGATCTGCTGTGTGTTGGCCGCTGGTACAATAGCCCGTTGGGCCGGGCCCGTTGAGGTTTGGGGGTGGCCAGTGTCGAGGTAAAGCCGCCTGATGGTGTTGAGTTGTTCTGGAGCCATGGGCGGGAAGGCAACAATAGAAATTCTAAGGATTAAGCCATCCGCTCTGATGGGATAGTTTCAGGCCATTCACTGATTTAGGTAAAGTTATGATCAAGCCATCCATCCCTTCTGCTATCTTTTCTGAGGCAGCAAGGTGAAGCATGGAGATCATCCCAAGATTCGGTGGGTTGAATTCGTGATAGATCTTCTTTGTTGATTACTGTTATAGTTATAGTAACCCTCAAAAAAGATAGGAGTTGGAAAGAAACATAAACAAACTGGTGATAATCTTTTGGGGGGGTTCTAGAACGGATTGATAAGCCCCAGTTTATTGTACAATGTGCGGTCCCAACTCTAATGG